ACAAACCCGGTCAGACCTGACTCTGAAAGGGTTCAGCAGAGGTATCAAGACTGGTAGTCCAAAAGGTTCGGTAAAGCCAAAGGGTTTACAACAAGATGTTTCTTACTATATTCGAAAGGACGTCTTAAGCACAGTGATATATTACTTACTAGGGGACTCCCAGAGCCCGCCAGTCCTGTAACTATATACTACTTGGGTTCCCTACTATTATAGTAGACGCCGCTAGTCGCTAGCGCCCCTAAGCGTCTATAGTCGCCGATAGACGCCAGCGTCCACGAGCGACTACTCTGCACTATCCTACAGCCTTACGGTAGCGTTACACAACTATTAGACGGGGCTACGCCCCGCGGGTTCTACCTGGCCGTAATATATAGTTAGTTCGTAATACGATGCCCTTCCTTAATGTCTTTCGTCCCGAAAGATCGAGGTCGTTATTTTAAATAGCGCCAACTACCCTAACTTCCTTATTTCTATTTATAAGCGCTTTCCCTCCGTCCGCCACTACTCCTTGTTATAGCTAACACGCCTGGTAGGCCCCGCCGAAACCGCGCGATCGAGTACCGTGCTGCTACTTCCGCTATTGAGCGCGACAGTCAGGAGGTCGATATACCCTGTGAACGTTGTTGGAATGTAAAGCCCCGGAGACGCTACGTGATAGTACCTAGCTTGAACAAGTACTCGGGTTACGTCCGTCTAGGTAAGAAGTATAGTAGTCCGAACGTCGTAAGTGCTTGTAAGTCCCGTTCGTCTTCCTATAGATTAGGCTGATCCCTAGTAGTAATAGCGAATATATCGGCCTATAATAAAGTAGATAAGGAAATTATAGATGCTGAACGACAGCTATCCGAGGCGTTAAGCCGTCTCTCGTATCTTCGTCGTTAGCGCGAGGTACTAGGTAATACTAGCTCCAAGCTACTGAGCTATAGTCTAGATAGTTTAGAGGAGGACGAGTCTAATTCCCCTATACTGATATCGGAGGAGTAATCCCTAGTTGGCCGGGCGTAGTCCCTAGGTACTTTTGGTATCGTCGACTAGGAAGCTACTAGCGCGGTCCCTTTTAGTAGCCTGGACTAGCTAACTACTCCTGATACTACTTAAAGGTTCGTTCCCCTACCTCCTTTCTTAATAAATAAAATAGTTACGTAGCATAGTAGTTAGCGTATATACCTGTCGTTCTACTTCACCTTAGGATAGAATCCTAGGGTAGAGTAAGGCTTGTACGAGGTCGTGGGTTCGAATCCTATTGCGACCTTATTTCTATATAGATAGTAATCCCGTAGAATACGATCTATATAGGAATGTTTTACTATTCCCTTGCGTATTGAGTACTGACTTGTTGTTTGTTTAGTACTTTCTAGGGTAGCCCTTCTAGCGCGAATGCTTCGCCTTTGGCTCTTCCCTTAGCTGATCTAGGTTCTAGCGGTAGAAGTTCGTAACCTTCTTAGAGTAGTAAAGGTTCTTAGCTAGTTCCTATGAGTTTTCAATCGAGTTAAAATCTAACTATTTAACTAGATACTCCAGTCGCCTTTCGTTGATATGTAAATCAAGGATTTCCTTAACGTCCTATTCTTCTTCCTTGTCCTGGGCTTCGACGTTGGTCGTAAGCCTAGTGTTCTTAGGTACTAGTTCGAGGAGTACGATATAGAAGACGTTAGTCCTGACTTTTATCGTTGTTAGTAGCGCGATCCGGTAGTTGTTTTCCGAGATCTGCTCTTCGATCTTAAACGGCCCGATCTTCCTAAAGCCGAGCTTCCTGTTTGGTCGGTTTGTTCGAAGATTCCGTATATTGAGGTAGACCTTGTCTCCCCTCTCTAGGCGAGGACCCTCGAGCCTATATTTATCGTAGTAGCTCTTTATCCTGCCTCTAACGAACTCTAGTTCGTCCCTAAGTATCGTATAAAGCGTATATATCTAGTCGGCCTTAACTGCTACCCTAGGGACCGAGACCTCGGGTCCCTAGCGTAAATCTACCTCGTATCTGAAGTTCGCGAAGAACGGTAAGACCTTCGTAGTTTCCGTAGGTACTGTGTTATATATAAGCTATACTATAGGTAGAAGTATAACCTAATCGTCTTGCTAGTAGTTAATGTAAAGCTAGAGATATTGTTCTACGATCTAGTTAAGTCGTTCTATCTGTCTGTCCGTCTATAGATAATAAGCTGTTAAGAGCTTGCTTTTTGTTCCTAGGCGCTTTATAAACGCCTGCTAGAACTTCGATATAAACTTAGTATCTCTGTCTATAATCTATTCTTCTAGCTATATGTAGACCGAAGTAATATATCGATAGATTATATCCACGAGTTGTTCTACTGACTACGACTCTTTATACGGGAAGAAGTAGCTCTACTTAGTAAGTCTGTTAACTATAGTAAAGATACTATTATATATCGTTCCCGTTATTGTATCTTTTAACGCTAGTAGCTTAGTAATAAAGTCTATCGTTACCGAGCTCTATAGTCGTACTATAACCGGTAGCGGTTAGAGGAGTCTATAAAGCTTATACCTATCTAGTTTACTTTAGCGGTATAGGTTATATACCGCAAGCACTTCCTTAACCTTCTTCCTAAGTCCTAGGAAATCGTAGTGTTGTTTAATCCGAGTAACCGTTTTAGCGATTCCTATATATCCTCCGAGTCTCGACTTATAGATGTCTCTGATAAGTACCTCCTAGGCGGTCTTATCGACGTAGACTTTGCTACCGGGCGTTAGCTTACCTAGTGTCTAATCCCGTTTTTCCCTAAAGATCGTACAGCACTCCTCAAAGTATTAGAGGAGATATCTCAAGGACCTACCCTCCAGGGCTTAAAGCAGTAGTAGCAAGGCTTTAATAGTGTTACCGAAATGATCCAGTCTCCTACTCAAAGCATCTGCTCGCGCGTTTTCTATACCTTTCTTATAGTAGATAACGAAGTTAAACTACGACAGGAACTCCGCCTATTACGTTTGTTGTCCGTTAAGTTCCTTTGTAGTTGTAAAGTACTATAGGTTCTTATAGTCTATATAGACTTAAACCTTATATATCGTACCGCTAAGGTAGGGCTTCCACTCTTCGAAGGCCTTGATAATTACTATTAACTCCTTATCGTAGACCGGGTAGTTAAGCTATAGTCCTAAGATTTTCTATAAAAAGAATATAATAGGGTAAAGCTTACCGTTATCATCTTGTTATCCGAGTTACCCGCCTACCGTGTAGTCGGACACGTCGGTCTCAACCTCGAATAGCTTCCTAGGGTCTAGCAATATAAGCACTGGGTCAGCGACGATCAGCTCGCAGATCCGTTAGAATACCTACTCGTACTCCTCTCTCTATCGGAACTCGACGTCCTTCTTCGTTAGGTTATATAGAGGTCGTACGATATCGCTAAAGTTCTTAATAAACATCCGGTAGAAGTTAGTAAATCCGATAAATCCTTGGACCTCTATTGTCGTCTTAGGCGTAGGCTATATTCTAATAGCCTCGATCTTAGTTAGTTCTATCCGAATCTATCCTAGTGTGATCTCGTAGCCTAGGAAGACTATTTTTATAATATAGAACTTACTCTTATCCTTGTTAACTAAAAGTTTTTATATATAGAGTATATCTAGTACTTGTCTTATATACTTCTTATATTCTTCGAGCGTTTTAGAGAAGATAAGAATATTATCTAGGTAATAGACTACGAATCGGTCTAAGAATAGACGGATCGTATAATCGATAACGGCTTAAAAGGTCGCGGGTACGTTCGTTAGGCCGAAGGACATTACTTAATACTTAAAGTAGCTGTAACGGGTACGAAACGCTATCTTCTATTCGTCTCCTTTCTTAATACGAATATAGGCGTACGCTATCGGAAGATCGAGACGGGTAAAGTATCGTGCTCTTGCTAACTGGTCGCGGAGTTATATAATTAGGGGCAAGGGGTACCGGTTCTTTACTGTTTAATTATTTAGCTATCGGTAGTCTATATATATCCTAAGCTTACTATCCTTCTTTAGAACGAAGAGGACTAGGTAGCCTATAGGTAATGTCGATAGTCTAATATACTCTATCTTAAGGTTGGACTTAAGATATCTCTTTAGCTCTTTGTCCTAGAGTTCGTTAGTATAGTATACTTTAAAGAACTTTAGTTGGGCGCCTTCTTTAAGCTTGATCTCGTAGTCCTAAGGTCCGTAGTCTGGCAACCCTTCTATATATTTTGCTTCGAATGCTAGGTATCCCTAGTATTCTACTAGGATCCGCCCTGTTTCGTCGTTCTTTACCGTACCTTTGTAGTACACGAACTTGCTGCTAGCTGTAACTTCGGCTACATCGGCCTACTATATCTACTCCTAGAACTAAGTGTTACTATAGTCGTCGATTAAGATAATAGCGACCTCCTTAGTAGCCCGTCTTAGCGTACCCCCTAGAGTCTACTATTAGCCTCGATCTAGGCCTATTTTGTTCAACCCTTTGTGACTACCGCTTCTTCCTAAGTACGTAGCGGGTCGTCCGCCGCTATCCGCCTCTTACGGTAGATCCTAGAAGTATATATATTTTGTCGTACTACCTTTCCGTGATCCTTTGTCTACGCCTCCTATTACGTTAGTCGGATATAGTCCTGGTTCTAGTTAGAGCTATAGGTAGCTACCTCCCTTCCAACTGATATCTAGGTTATAATCCTCGTACTAGGGGAATCCTAAGATTATATCCTTGTCGGTCCCTATATCTACGATATTAAAAATAACTTTCGTAGTCTTCCCTTCGACGGTGATATCGAGTAGCTCGGTTTCGCGTCGAGCCTACTACATTTCGAATAGCCCCTTAACTATATATACAATATCTTTCATCCTCTATAAAACCTAGAGTTAGTTAACGAACCTTAGTAAGATAAGGTTAAGTTCTGACCCTCTATCTACTAGAGCTAATACCTAGTATTGCTTCTAGTATACTGGGATCTAGAGTCTTCTATCGGTCCTAGTACCTAATACGGCAGCGATTTCTGCTCCGCTTACCGGGAGATTGTTATAGCCCTTCCGTTTCGCCTAGTTCTTCCTGTACTAGTAGGCTTGTCGTCGTTATAAGGGTGTTAGAGGTTGTCGGGCCCCTCGGAGGGCCTGGAGCCGTTTCCCAAGCGCTATTAAGTACTATAAACCACATCGTTTAATCGTCGGTAGTCTACCTACTCCTATAGGAGGTCGTGAAAGGCGTCCCCTTCCGTTCCCTAGCTTACTTCTACAATAGTGCCGAACTCTTGTAACCATTACTTGCTACTCCGTACCAACCGTTCCTCGTCTTTGTCCGGGACTAGGTCCGAGTTACACCCCCTCTTCCGGTATACCAAGCCTCGAGAGTAGCGCTCCCTTATCTCTATCTTCTTACGCTAGTACTCCTTACTTTTAGCTTAAAGGTACTAGACGCAATCTACGCTACTACAGTGGTCTATACTATCGTCTCGTACGTAGGTATATAGCGATGGCTATACTTGTCGTAGTTGTACGTAGACCTTACTGTCCTCCGAGTACTCAAAGTACTAGAGTAGGTCGGATGCTCCCTGCCCCTAATCGAATATCTACCTGATCGGTCTAGGTAGTCCGTTAGGTATAGTCTCACGGATAGGCTAGTAGTTGTAGTCGTATTTCTCCTTGAAGTAGTACTTACAGGCGTACGTGACGTACTAGAACTATAGTACCTACTTATAGTCTGCCCGCTCGGGGTATAGCCTTCGCGATTCCGACTTATCGACCTATTAGAACCTTCCCTTGTAGTCAGGTTCCTTTATATCGCTATTGTTCTCCCTGAGGCTAATATAGGCTCTAGTCTTCTAGAACTCCTCCTAGCTCTAGGGTTTAGTATTCTTAAGGTACTATCGCCTAGCCTAGTTGTAGTATTCCTATTCAGAGTTCCGGACCTCGGTAGGGTAGTAGTCCTCGGTACTCTAGTTGTAAGGTCCGCTCTAACCAATATTTCTATAATCGGAAGAGTCGTTAACCTAGAAGATCTCCTCGCGGAGCGTATCTACTTACTAGATCGCTTCGTTAAGCCTTCCTTCGACCGTCTGTCCTTCGGTAACCAGCTTGAAAATCTTAGTCTAAAGTTAGTCGTTCTACTCCTTAAGCTCTTAGACTTACTACTAGAGGTAAACTAGGTCGGGACCTTCCGCTAAGTCCCTTTCGTCTACGGTCCTCTATTGCCTATTACTATCCTAGACTAGTCGTAGTCCCTATATAGTAGCGATCTACTTAACGTACTACTGGGCTACCGGTACTATTAACTCCTATTAATTTCCTTCGCCT